AAAAAAAAAAAAAAGTCAATAGTATAAATATTTAAGTCTCTACACAGATGTGTGTTTTGAAACTTATAAAAATGAAACTTATTTTAATGGAAATCGTCTAAAGACCTCTTATACTGTCCCAGTTCCACCAGAAGCAAAAAAAGTGCTCACTTTTGGTTGAAGCATTTATGTAGGTTAAAGAAAGAAAGAGAGGCGGGCTGGGTGCGGTGGCTCACGCCAGTAATTCCCGCACTTTGGGAAGCTGAGGCGGGCGGATCACGAGGTCAGGAGATTGAGATCATCCTGGCTAACATGGTGAAACCCTGTCTCTACTAAAAATACAAAAAATTAGCCGGGCCTGGTGGCGTGCGCCTGCAGTCCCAGCTACTCTGGAGGCTGAGGCAGGAGAATCGTTTGAACCCAGGAGGTGGACATTGCAGTGAGCTGAGATCATGCCACTGCAATCCAGACTGAGCAACAGAGGGAGACTCTGTCTCAAAAAAAAAAAAAAAAAAAAAAAAAGAGGCAAATGTTACTTCTGTAACAAGTTTTAGACACACAATGGAATTTTTCCAATTAATCTCCTAAGAATGAGCTTTGGCCTGAGACCATCAATCTGGGATTATCTCTAGAGCTCACCTCAACAGAGCTTTCTGCTTCCATGTAAATGATGGTGACAACATCCTGCTCACTGCTGTTGACTAAAAAATAACCAGATCCTTCCATAAGGGTAAATACTTCCTATGGAAAAATCAGACAATATTCTGTTCCCTTCAGTTTATAAATAGCTCAAAGGAAATAATTTCTACCTACCTAAGAAAGAATAGGGGATAAAAAGATTAAATTAAATGCACAAAAGACAAAATACAATTATTAAATTATAATTTTTAAGGAGAGTACAACTATTATATATGTGTTTTACATATCTATATCAGTTATTGTCAACACATAAGTGAGCTTTTTAATTGTTATACTATTAATTTTAGTAATTTCCCCTCCAATATAATTCCATTTAACTAGACTCATACAGTTTCTACCTTCACATCAGGGTGGTTATAGATGGTGGCATTGTCAGGCACTACAGTTACATCATCTACCAGGAGCAGCTCCACAGTTGTAGATATGGGCAAGTTGGAAATTTCCTAGAAATATAATAAGAACCACAAAGGTGAATATAAGTGTCTAATTCTTGACTGGGTGCGGTGGCTCATACTTGTAATCCCAGCACTTTGGGAGGCTGAGGCAGGCAGATCATCTGAGGTCAGGAGTTTGAGACCAGCCTGGTCAACACGGCGAAACCCCATCTCTACTAAAAATACAAAAATTAGCTGAGCATGGGGGTGGGCAACTGTAATCCCAGCTAGTTGGGAGGCTGAGGCAGGAGAATTGCTTGAACCCGAGAGACAGAGATTGCAGTGAGCCAAGATATTGCCACTGCACTCCATCCTGGGTGACAGAGCAAGACTTCATCTCAAAAATATATATATATATATATATATATATAATAATAAAATAAATGTCTAATTCTTCAGCTCTATGGGAGACGTTTCCAGAACTCTCTCAAGTGCCAAAAATAACAGAATCACAGAGGTCTCAGGTTTATGTAAGTTGTACAACTTTTAAAGAAGAGCTTTACACTCCAATTATTTAATTTATGTTTCTTATATTACAATCTCCACTCACTTTTGGGCTTTTCTTCTCTGAGTATCCCACAAAATGGACTCCAATGAGTACAGTCCCTTTTATCTGATGTACTTTAAGAATCTGATGACCTGGAAACATGCAGAAAAATACCCTGTGAGAAATAGCAACATGTAGAATACGCAGGTATTTCTAGAAAACCAAATTCTGCCACAGTTTTTCCAAATCACGCTTTATTGAAGAGGAAAAAATCTGAATGGGGAAATATATAAGAGAAAACTGTTTTTTTGTTTTTTTGAGATGGAGTCTTACTCTATCGTCCAGGCTGGAGGGCAGTGGCATGATTTCTGCTCACCACAACCTCTGCCTCCTGGGTTCAAGCAATTCTCCGGCTTCAGCCTCCCGAGTAGCTGGGACTACAGGTGTGGGTCACATGCCCGGCTAATTTTTGCATTTTTAGTAGAGATGGAGTTTCACTATGTTGGCCAGGATGGTCTTAATCTCTTGACCTTGTGATCCTCCTGCTTTGGCCTACCAAAGTGCTAGGATTACAGATGTGAGCCACCACGCCCGGCCTGAAAACTGGGTTTTGGGCTGACCCTGCCAATATGTACCCATATGACCCTGAGCAAACACTTTATCTCTTAGTTCCTTTATTAAATGAGGGACTGGGCCAGGTAAAATCTAAAATTCTTTCTAGCTTTGATGGTCTATGAGTCCAAAATAGACTGACAAGTATACAGGGAAATTTTTGTCCAATTTACAAATGGAAATGAGAAAGGGATAATCCTTTGGGATCTTTCATTCTCCTAAACTATTCTCTACATGCAAAAGTTATGTAAGGCACTTAACAGAGTTTTAAAATGGCTAACTATTCTTAATTACATCAATCCAAACTCCTTAAACTTGTATCTGAAGGCTTCCATATTCTGACTCTGCTTTAATCATTCAGTTTTCTTTCTCTCTCTTTATTTTCTTTCCTCTTTCTCTCTTTTCTCCCCTACCATTTTTTTTTTTTTTTTTTTTGGATCTCACTCTATCACCCAGGCTGAAATGCAGCAGTGCAATCACAGTTTACTGCAACCCCTACCTACCTGGCTCAAGTGACCTTCCCACCTCAGCCTCCCAAGTAGCTGGGACCACAGGTGCACATCAACATACCTAGCTAATGTTTTGTAGAAACAGTTTTGCTCTGTTACCCAGGCTAGTCCTGAACTCCTGAGCTCAAGTGATTCTCCTTTCTCAGCCTCCTAAAGTGCTGGGATTATAGGTGTGAGCTACTGCACCTAGGCTTTTAAAAAATTTTTTTAATTTAACAAACATGAATCTGCCACTTCACTTAGGTCAGTTTTAATTTTGTCCTCAATATATTATCATGCCTAAATCTGTGAGGCAGTTTCTCATGATGCCACATTCATTCAACAAATATTTATTGAGGGCCTACTACATGCCAGGTGCTATGTTGGGTAATTAGAATACAGAAATTAAGAAGAAAACACAATCCTTGACTTCAAAGAAACCCACAGTTTAGTGAGGGGTGACTGAGTAGTAAACCAACCACTGCAATACAGTGTGATAAGTGGTATTATAGAAATACATACAGCTGGGCTCAGTGGCTCATGCCTGTAATCCCAGCACTTTGGGAGGCCCAGGCGGGCGGATCACGAGGTCAAGAGATGGAGAACATCCTGGCCAACATGGTGAAACCCCGTTTCTACTAAAAATACAAAAATTAGC